GTGTGTGTGTGTGTGTGTGTGTGTGTGTGTGTGTGTGTGTGTGTGTGTGTGTGTGTGTGTGTGTGTGAGAGAGTGTGTGTGTGTGTGTGTGTGTGTGTGTGTGTGTGTGTGTGTGTGTGTGTGTGTGTGTGTGTCTGTGTGTGTGTGTGCGTCTCTGTGTGTGTGCGTGTGTGTGTGCGTGTGGGTGTGGGTGTGGGTGTGGGTGTGGGTGTGGGTGTGTGTGTGTGTGTGTGTGTCTGTGTCTGTGTCTGTGTCTGTGTCTGTGTCTGTGTCTGTGTCTGTGTCTGTGTCTGTGTCTGTGTCTGTGTCTGTGTCTGTGCCTGTGCCTGTGTCTGTGTCTGTGTCTGTGTCTGTGTCTGTGTCTCTGTGTGTGTGTCTCTGTGTGTGTGTGTGTGTGTGTCTCTGTGTGTGTGTGTGTCTGTGTCTGTGTCTGTGTCTGTGTCTGAATCTGTGTCTGAGTCTGTGTCTCTGTTGTGACCTCTTCCTCTTGCCTTCGTGTGATCCCTCTTCTCTGGTCTGCATACTCTCTTTCTCTGGGACTCCCGGGCTGGAGGACAGGGACGACGTCCAGGCGGTGGCGGCCGAAGCTCTTCTGGAAGCCGTAGCCACCGGAAAGACCAGAGAGACCACCTTGGGGCCTCGCAGCGAGAGAGCAGCGTCAGTGACAGCGAAGGCAGAGGAACATTGCAAGCGAAGCCAGAGCAAGCAAAACCCAAGAGGAAAAATCACAAAGAGAGAGAGAGAGAGAGAGCGCGAGAGCAGAGAAAGAGAGAGAGAGAGAGAGCAAAAAGAACAAACAGAAGGAGAGGAGCTCTCACTCTTTCGCGTATAGAAGACCCCAAAAGGAAGAAAGGCCCGCACAGGAATTCAAAGAAGCACCCGAGCAGAGCCTGGAGAGGTAGCCAGGCATCGATCTCTGTGGTCTCATCACCTGTGCTGCATACAAGACTGCTTTGCGGTTCAGGCCGGCTGACGGGACGAGGCTCTTGCGAAATGTTCCGAAGTGTTCGCTACCCTTTGGCCCACAGCATGAGCCCCAGAAATGCTGCGGATGCTGCTGCATATGACGCTCCATGCCACGCTCCATGACCCTTACTTGGCCGCCATGTGCGGAGCCCTTGACATGCGACCAAGTGCACGTTTTTCTCTGATTGTTTTTTGTTTGTGCGGCTTTCGCCTGCGAAGATGAACGTCTCCTGATCTTGGGGTCAGCAGCGAAGCTCCCTCAGGAATGCTTCGTCCAGAGAGTTCGATTACCAAGGCCTGCCCGGCAAGATCGGTGAGAGCAGCCTGTTTGTCGTGTCACCGCAGGTTCTTGACCTGGTGCAAAGCATGTGCACATACCATTCATCTCCAAACCGAGCTTTGGGACATGCTGAGCACCTTGCTCTCATCATTTTATAGTTGCAGTAGTCACCCGGCGCAAGCACTTTCTTGCCACGCCACATGCGCTTCTTCAGGATCTGGCAAACAGTGTTAGAGCGGCAGCAGAAGGCAGAAACCAAATGTCAAGGGATGGCAAGACTATGGCAAGGGGGCACAGTGGCACACATGTGCCCAAGGAGAAACACAAAACATGGGCCCTGCCAACCCTCCCCGAGACTTGGGGTTCCTTTCGACCCTTCACCGTGGCAGCACGGGCAAGGAGAGAGCCTCAGGAAAGGCCAAAGTGCTGCAAAACCTCTGCACAAGCTCGGAGCATCATCTCGGGACCCTGGCAACTGCGGAACTTCTTGCGGAAGGTCCAACCCTCACTTCGATCTGCCCAGCGAGTAAAGAGAAGTTCTGATGTTGGGCTCAATTTGGTCTGTGGGGCTCTTGGGCTTCGAGCACGTGCGATATGGGAAGGGACATCCTGCCTCGTTTGGTTCGCTTCTTGTTGAACATTGTAACCTTGCCACCGTCAAACCAAAGGCTGCCGTGCTGGACTACCTTGAGTGCTGGGATGTTCTGCGGCACCTTGATATCCCGGTCTGCACCTTCGAAAAGTGAAGGAACTTCGGGACCAGCGAAAAGGGAGGCAGCCGCGAAATCACCTGAGCAATGAAAATCAGCGGCTGTCAAGTCAGAGCTGAGTGCACTGACCTTCCATGAGCGATAGCATGTGCTGGTGGTCCAGATCCACCTTAGCAGCGGCCCAAAGGCCCAAAGAGGACCCCAAAATGGATCAGGATGGACCCATGGCCTATCATGGCGCAAAGTCTCTACGGGCGCGCCTGTGCAAGGCGTGGCTGCACGCTGACAGCATTGCCCCCCTCCGCCGGGATCGGTGCTGACGCCAAGAAGCACCTCCACACCCAGAGGCCATGATGTCATGGGAGTCATGGGAGTCATGGGTCAAACAAGTTCAACAAATTGCAGAACGCTTCACTCAGCATGGTGCTGCTGGGCCATCATACACCTCGATTTGCCACCCGGACCAAGCAGGCGCGTCAAGATCCAAGCTCAGCCAAGACACAGGGTCAAGCCAAGCGCAATGGCAATGAGAGTGCCCAGCAGGCCACCTTTCCGGCTCATGTTGAACAGCTTGCATGTTCTCACGAGCGCATTCAATGACGTCCATGTTCCCAAGAAGATGTCTATGACGACAACACAAGGCCACGGTGATCCTAGCAGAATAACGTCACCAAGAATGTGTATGGGCCTGCTTTTGCCATTGCAGGATGGCTCCCGCAAGGCCGCAAGGCCCGTACACACCCGCTCCCAAGACTCGGGCCCTACTAAAGGATTCCAAGAAAGCTCTTCCACACTGTGCAATGCTGTGCAATACTGCGCAATTCCACAAACTCGAACCAAAACAACATGATTGACATGTATGGTCCCAGCGGCCATCTTTTCATCAACGCATGAGTACTTCAGATCTATCCAGTCAACATGCTGCTGCTTCTTCAAGCCCTGCATGTTCTCACTGAGCATTGCCACTTAGCATCCCTCGGTCAAGAGCATTCAAGTTGACTTGCCCGGCGACTTTGGTGAACAGTTCAAGAAAGTATATAAACATGTAGGCGCTGGTTGCCAAAACCAGCTACTTTGGAGCAGTTGTGCGTGTCTTTTTCGCTGACATTGCTTCGTGCAACCGTCAAACTGAAGTGTGAGCGCGGACACTTGCAGCGCTAACCGTAAGGAGTCGGAGCTTACGGTTTACGGCACGATACGAGCTACCAGAGCATGCAATGGCTAGCCGGCGGCTAGCACAATAAGAACGCACATGTTACCAGAGGATCCAGTGGCCGCGCCCAGTGGCCACAGCGTGCCCGCACCAGCGCATTATGGCCGCGCAAAAAGAACGCGATAAGAACGTACAAGGTCTTTTGGGGCCCGTAGGGAGGCAAAAGAAGCCCAACATGAGGGCTGCCCACTGAAGTGCCGCCCCGATGTAGCCGGCATGCAGGTATTCTTTGAGATCTTTCGGGAGTGACAGGGCGGCGGTCCCTCTCCATACCTCAATTTCTGGTCCAGACGACGCGCATCAGGAGCATCAGCGAGGGGCTGGGAAGCGGGGCGGGGGGAAGACAGGGCCACGCAATGACGAAGGAAGCCCTTAAGAGTCAGCGCCAACGGCAGGATGCTGGAAATGGGGTCGGCACAGGGAGCCATGAAGTCCATGAAGGGTTCCCGTGTCCAATTGGAGCCATTGCTGGAAGTGCATGCTAGGCTAGCGCTTTTTGTTCATCCAAAACGCTTTGAGACAGAAACTGGCAGCAGATGGCGGCAGATGGCAGCTGCAGTCCAAGCGAACGAGAAGACAACGCTTCAAGCTTTCCTCGCAGCCTCTTCCGTTCTCTCTCTTTCCTCGCGGCGAGAAGGCTGACTCTACACGGACCACATCACCATACATCACCACATCACCACATCACCACATCACCACATCACTTGTTGGCGTTCCTTTCATAAACGTCCCGAAGCCTGGGGGCCCCGCACTGGGCTCTCACGCATTCGCAGAGATTTGCCTCTCAGGTCATGAAGGCGGTGGCATCGACGGGAGGCTCGGCCTTGCCCTGAGAAGAAAGGAAAACAGAAGAAGAAGAAGACAGAAGAGAACAGATCTCAAGAAGCAACGAAATTTAAAAACAAATGAAGACAAGAAAAAGAGGGCAAGAGAGAGAGAGAGAGAGCGGGAGAGAGAGAGAGAGAGGAGTGCAAGTGCAAAACTCCCCCCCCCCCCCGCTTGTTTTTTGCATCTCAACCCAGGCCTGCGTCGACCAAAACTTCAGAGTGCGGTCGAAGGCCACTGAGCCTATGTAGTGGTGGCCTCAAGGAGCGGGCCGAGCGGGCCTCTCTTTGCTGCACACTTTGTTCATCTTTGTTCTCCCAATCTTCACTGTCACCTTCCACTTTCGCTGAGGGGACCGCCACCAACAGCGGCAGGGATGTGGTCAGCACCCATGACGCGGCCCTCGTGACCAATAAGAACCTGCAATTGGATGCAATTGGGCACTTTTAAGACTACTTGGACGGCTGGATGCCCGGTCGCAAGAGATAATCCCAGCCCCCTAAGCCTGCCTTCACGACCTTCCAGTCTGTCGTAGAGCAAATCTTCACTGTGCCATCGTAGCTGGAAGTCAACACCAGGCGCCCCTCACCTTTCTCAAAGCTCACCTCACAATGAACAGCATTAAACAGCGTTGAACCGCTGGCCGCCGCAGAGAAACACGACGTCAAGCCCGAGTCAAGCCTCCGAAATAAGCTTGTTGTGGAGCAAGAGGTTGTGCGTGCACCTTGCTCAACTCAGCGCTTCCATTCATCTTGCTTGCAACACATCCGGGTCCAGCTGCACTTATCTGCACCGCACCTCCTCTTCCGCAAATCCCAGACACGCATGCTGTGATCATCACTGGCCGTCGCAAGGATGGTGCCGCGTGGATGGAAGTCGACGGCAAGGACCTCGTTCTGTTTCGCTTAAACTTACAAGCTTAGCGCCAAGATGCGCCGACGCATGGACTTCCAACGCTGCTGAAAGCAGCTGACCCCACATGAAAACTGATACAACCCAGACGCCACTATTCAATATCCACATGATCATACCTCGCCCCACCTGTTTGCCGTGCGCCGCCAGAGGCATGACGGTCTTACCGCTGCGCAAGTCCCAGACCTCTGCACCAGAGGCATGTGTGCATGTGTGGAGTGCCCACATGCACAACACGTGCTCACGACGCAGAAGGCACTGGGCGTCTATGCTCGAACAACACCACCAAGATCACTGGTGGCCACAAGAGAGCCATCAGGGTGCACTGAGCAGCCATACACTGGCCGAGAGTGGCCTTCCTGAAGGCTGTTGCAACTGCACATAGCTCCAAATAACATCGCAGCGTGCAGGCTGACAAAGGTTTTTGCGTCCTGCAGCAGGAGCTCTGTGGTTGTTTCTACGTCCCACAACCGCCAGCTCATGTCCTGGCCATGTCCAGATGATCATGCTGAAAATTTTCCTCACGAGATAAACGCCAGGTTGCATGAGACGTGGAAATCACGTGCTCGCCCATCGGATGGAACCTGCAGGCCAAGTGCATTGAACTCGCTGAGCTCCCATATCTGTCGGACTCTGGGCTTCCCGGCACCACTCTGTTGACCCGCTCCTGGCTTCACACGATGTGCCACGATGTGCCACGATGTGCCACGATGTGCCACGATGTGCCCGTGCCACGATGTGCCACGATGTGCCACAGGGACCTCGTGGCCCTCCAGCACGTTGACTGGCTGGCTCTCGGATAACGACCAGAGGCTAATCCTGAAAAAATAGTGTCTGCAACGTGCCTTAACATATGGCCCGTAAAGGGGGCTCTTATATACTCCTTATGCAAACCCAAGGGCCATGTGAAAAGACAAGTAACTACCCTTACAGGCAACCAGACGGGCACAAGCTATCACAAGCTGTGGTGCTTCTGTCAGCTTCTAAGAAAAAAGCGTGACAGGTAAGCGTGGGTACTGCGGAATCTCCTGGAGTCTGCGGAGGCTGAGGCCAAGCGCACCGTGTTGCCTCGGATCGATGATCTCTCTAGTCTCTCTGAGCAGCATTGAGCGAAGCTCAATCGTTCATGATCTACTTCATGCTGCCCTTCGCAAGGAAACCGGGAGAAAAAACATATTCCTTGCTGGTCAAGAGTAAGCCCTCAGGTTGACAATCTTCCAAGCAGTGAGATGCCAGGTGCATCAGGTCTGAGGTGTGAAGTTTGTGAAGTTGCGCAGTGTATAACTCTTGTGTTCGTTGTTTGGTTTCCTACCTTACCTCTAGACTCAAACAAGGCAACGAGCTAGGCAGACGAACCCTCGCTCTTTGTTAGACGTCTTGCTTCTTGCCTCTTGCCGCTTGCCTCTTGCTTCTTTGCTGAAGCAAGCGGTTTTCACGCCAAAACTACTGCAAACTGAGCATCCTCCGGCTGTACACGTAATCACGGGAGAGGGCCAAAGCTTCCGAGGCCTCATTAGTGGGATTTTGAGCCTTGGAGGGCCCACTAGATCTGCAAACTCCCAAAAGCGTTTTGCACGTTGGCCTTGTTGGTGGCCATGAATGGTGTTTCCCCGTACAGAATCATAGGCAATACTGATCATTTATCCCAATTAGCAGGCGCTTGCATGTGACATATGACACTTGTCTCTGTGACAGCGGCACAAATCTTCGGGGTCTGGGCCTTCAAGCATGACATATCATTAGAGGTATGATAGGGTATGATAGTTCCGAGATGTTATGAGGATGGCGCACCCCACATGTCGCATTCTCGTGACCGTCTGCCTGTTTTGAGGCCTTCACACCAATTCAAGGTCAAAACGTCACGACAGAGGATAGCCTTTGCCCCAGCAAGCAAATTACAAAACCGAAAGTGACGACAGTTGCGAGGATGACGCACCCTGGACTGCGACTCATGCGCGACACTCGCGAACTCTTGGCGAACGCTTCGCGGACGTTTCGCGCTCGACCTTGGGTCACCTGATGTCACCTCCTGAACCCCTGGAACCCCAACCTTTTAGAACGGGAACTCTGCTACACTCTCAGGGAGAAAGAGTGTGCAGCGCTTTGCAAGGGTTTTACGAGCACGAATGTCCAAAGGCACGGATCTCTGACGGAGCACACAAGTCACACAAGTCACACAAGGGCAACTCTGCGTTGTCAACATCCGGGTTCCAGGCCCTCAAAGGGAGGTGTGCCTTTGCAACTGGGGTGCCATGCCACGCTGTTGCACCTCCGCTGCCAATGAAAAGCGTGAATCTGGGGGCTTAAGACCCGATTAGAGACTTTCGGTCCCGCGAGAAAGCGAATCGCGAGACATATCGGAAAATCCCAACGAAAAAGCAATCTGTACAACTGGTCCAGCGGAGAGGGATGCCGTGTGGATTCCAGTGCTGGATGACGGTAGGCTGAGCACATCAAAAGCCAGAGCACCCAAAGCACAGAACAGAAAGCATTCCATTCACACCTGTCTTCGCCGACACGGATGGTCAGGACGGGATCGCATGAAGGGGTCTTCCACAGCTTGATGAAGCCAGACCTTGGTCTCAAAGTTGTGAAAAAGGTGTGAAAGTTGTGTCAGTTGTTAACAAGTCATGTCGAACTCTTGTTGTGTGCTTTGTGTTCATGGGGGACCAGCCAGGAGGAGGTGCAGAAGAGCGAGGCATCTGGGGAGAACTTCCCCTGTGTCAGTGGCCGCTCATCGCCCACCTGGTACTTCCCCTCTGCACAACATATTCCACATACTCCAGAAAGGGGTCTACGACGAGTCTACGAGGGTTCTAAAGGAAGCCAATCCAACTCCTACTTCTGAGGGGCGGCGCTGAAAGCTTGGCAAAATCCCGGGCGGTCAAGTTCCAACATGGTCCAACATGGTCCAACTCTAAAGCAAAACACTTCTGAAGGAAACTACCCTCTCGAAGTTGTCCTCACCTGCGAGACCTCGGCCACCATGGACTTTTGCAGGAACATGGAGAAGCGATCCACCCGCTCCTGTTCTTCTGCTCGTTTCTGTGCATGTCTGTGCATTGCTGCTTCTACAGCATCTTCTAGCGATTCTAGCCCAGGTTTGCCCCGGAAGTGAGAGAAGCACCTTAAGAGGGAGATCGGCGTCATACCCTCAAAGAGGAAACAAACTCTGCTTGCTCTGTGAAAAGGTCACAACCGCTAGCCACGAGTCTGGGTGAAGAACTTCATAGCAGGGAGAGAGAGAGAGAGAGAGAGAGAGAGAGAGAGAGAGTTCAGAGTCCAGTATCGGTGCCTGCAAACATGCCAACCACTGCGTATGAGGGGCGGCACAAAACCTAAAAAGCCAAAAACCTCCAAGCGCCCGCTCTCACAGACCCTCTCGATGCTCAAACTGCGTGTGAGCTAAACAAAGAGAGAGAGAGAGAGAGCGAGAGAGAGAGAGAGCGAGAGAGCGAGGGAGGCAAAGAACCAGAGAGCACTTATTTTGCATTGCATCCACTTAGCGGGCAGGTCTCAGAGTCAGAAATTCTACACCGCTGCAGTGTTCCACTGTCGAGATGACAGCGCACGCTAGGGTCTTGCTGGCGTAAAGCAAGATAAACAGTAAGAGAAATAGCAAGACAGATAATGAAAGACAGTTGAAGAAACAAAAAAGCCAAGAATCAGGAGGAGGCAGTTGCATGCCAAAAAAAGGAGTGCCGAGCACCTCGTATTCCACCGGGTCTTCATCCATCCTTTGTCGTCGCTCCTTCACCTTTCCAGCGTCATGCCGGCTCTTCGTTCGAGGAACACATGTAACACAATGTAACATCGTGCGGAATTTGCGAAACAGCATCTGAGGACGGTTCCAATCGCTGGTTGGCCCTGGCCAGCGACCTTTAAGCAGCAAAACAGGCGTGTGCGACTTTTGTCGGCTTGCAGCCAACTTGCAGAGAACTTGCAAACCTTCCAAACAACCCCCCTAAAATCCGAAAATTCTGGGCCACTGGCCAGTCCGCGATCTTCACCCTTGCGTCCAACAGCTCTTCCACCCCTTCAGTGTAGAAGAGGTCCTAGCTGCTGTACGAGGCAGCTGCGACGGAATTGAGCGAGATGCCGAACATTGGCGAACTGAATTGAACTGGCAAGTGAGCCCCCCAGCTACTGCCCCATTTTCAATGCACTGTTTGCAAATTTCAGCAAAGAACAACACACACACACACACACACACACATACATACACTCACCGTGCACATGTGATCTCCAGCACTTGTCCAGACAGCAATCAAAGACATACCGCAGTTTTCACCTGATGCGGCAGCTCGCCCCTCCATGTGAGCTGCAAGTAGCTGAGACTCCAGGTCATTAAATGCTCCTATAGTGAACGAGATCGGAGATGATCTTTTCTTATCGGAGAGCTCTCGGAGAGCTCTCGGAGAGCTCTCGGAGAGCGGGGGTCAGATGCTCGGAGGATCTCGGCGGTCTGGGCCGAGCCATGGGTCGGGGGGAGGGGTTGAAAATGGTTGAAAATGGTTGAAAATGGTTGAACATGGTTGAAAGACGAGAAGACATTGTGACGACTGAGGTGCACTCTGGTGCCTCGTCGCCAGTCGACTCCTGCCTCTTTGAGTCCAAGGTCGGTGCGGTACCTGAGAACTGCTCGGCGCCGCTGTTTCTGGGTGCAATCTGCTTTGTGCCGTGACCAGGTCCCCGTGTCCGGAAATATGCAAGGAACACATGGGAAAAAATTGACTGAGGAAAGTGCGCCCTGCCATGATGGTCCTCAAGCGGTCCCGCCGCTCGTACGGCCCCTCGCCGAAGATACACGCCTTCGAAGAAACGTGTTGGACCAGTGTAGTTGTCGGGAGTCTCGCATACGACGGCATGAAAGCACAAACGGGGCGCAACTGGGGCCCACACTGGTTCACCAAACTCTCGGAGCTTGGCTTTCACCTGCGCGTCTCCAGTGGGCACCGCCAGCCTCGCAGAACAGCACAACGTTCATCGAACATTCGAACCTTCCAATCTCGAAACATCGCGTTCTGCCGAGCGCTGTGCTCGCGCTGGGTTCGCTTTTGCTCGAAGGCCCGCACAGCGTCTTCGTGCTGCTGCCTCAGCCCAATCTACTCTGCTCTCAAGAGAATGAACACACGGCTTCACGCATTCACTACGTTGGAACCGAAAAAACATCGTGCATTCCTTCCAAGAACAAACTTGCAGGGCAACCTATCCTCCTGCCTGGATGCACATGCAGTGGGTCAAATACCCCTAAGACTGGAACCGGGCACGTGCCATATCATCGGCAGCCCCGGCAACAATGTCTGCATCGGAGGGCACATGGATGTTGGATCCCGTGAATGCCTCACCTCGGCTAGCAGTTCGGACGGGCAAGGTGAGGTGGTGTGAGATACAAGATGACAAGCATGCAGCTGGCACACGTCGTGAGAACACACGAAGCAGAGAAAACCTCACCCTGCAACGTGTCCCATGGCCGCACGCCGAAACGATCAACAAATCTATCCAAGAGGCGCTCTTCTCCAGCAGCCCCCAGGGATCTGAGCAGCCGCAACAATTCAGAAGCATTTTGGCCGAATTTCTGCGTAATCACTTGCTAATGCTACTCCATGCCCAAGGCGTCCCCTCTTGAGTTTGATGATATCGGTCTGAGCGACGCGCGTCCATTTTGCTTCTACATTCAACACAAAAAACGGACCTTCGTCGCCCACGCAAGACTAAAGAACCTAAAGTTGACCTAAAGATTGTAGGAGGTCGGTACATTTCGATATGTCTTTTTGGCTTGGTACGTTTTTGTACTGTACATGGCCAGCAACAGAAAAACACGGGGCCACATTGTTCAGTTGCCGCCAAAGACTGTTGTAGCTCTCGCCAAGATTCTCCAGACGGCCTAGCTCGTCGGAGAATTCATCTCTCTTCTTTCGAAAGTCCACACGGCCTTGGGTGTTCCTTGCGCGCTTGCTTCTGAACTTCCTCGACGGAGCCCTTCCCTGCCCCGGACACTTGTCAGGCGCATCGGTTCCGTGTCCTTGCGGAGGACACATAACTGGCGTAACTCGTAGAGCCGGGAACGTGCCATCATTGATCTCAGCAGTAGTCAAGAAGCCATCCAACAATGCTTTTTTGTAGTCCCGGGAGCTCAGCCTCGGGATTCGCGAGTACATCCTTCCACATCTCCTTGGGCATGTAGTCACGCGACCAAGCAATTTGGAAGCAGGTGCCAGCATTGGCATCCTGATTTGGATGTGAGCGGAAGGGAAATTGGCAGGCGGCAAGCTGATCCACAAGATCAAGCAGTTCTCGGGCGTTCTGATGCTTGGGTGAGCAACACAGCGGGCGCATGCCCCGATCTGCTGCTGCGGGCTGGCGGGAGTCCCGAAGCACTTTCCGGGGCAGTTCCAGTGGAAAGATGTGGAAAGTGCGTTGCAGAGTCGTGGCCTGTCAGCGCAGCTGTGAGCAAGCGCTTGGCGCTTGGTTTTCCACCCCATGGGACGGGCTGCCCCCTCCAGGGGCCGGAAGTGAGGGGCTTCACAGCTGATCAAGGCTTGCTTTGGGCCTACGGGCAACAGGAATCATTCAAACGACCTACCTGACTAGACCTGAGGAAGCGTGAGCGTTCAACGGTAAAGCTCGGCTTTGTGCTTGAGAGCCAGGCTTCGAGTTTGAGATATATTTTATCCCATGCCTTCCGGTTGCCAGCATGGTCAGACACCGACCCGGTAGCCAGTGAGGATAGATACCGCCCCATAACTCTGGAACCGGTTCCGTTCCAACACCTTTTTAACTACTAATAAGGGTATCGTAGAAATATAAAGTTTGTTTTGTACCAAGATGACAGGCTTAGGGGCTGGGTTTAGGGTTTAGGGTTTACGGTTTAGGGTTTGGGGTTTAGGGTTTAGGGTTTAGGGTTTAGGGTTTAGGGTTTGGGGTTTAGGGTTTAGGGTTTAAAAGGGTTTAGGGTGAAATGTTGGACCTTGTTTAGTAGGGGCCGCCTCTTTAAAGTCTTGGCCGATTTATTCAGGACCCCCTGACTGTTTGCGGGGGTTCCCGAAATCCGGCAATTTTTTTAAAGACTTGGGGCTTGTTTCGGCCCGGAGGCTCCGGCTTAAAGCTGGGCCTTATGATTTTAAAGCCGGACCTTGTGATTTTAAAGGCCGACCTCATCCATTCCAACCGGCCCGAAACGGTTAATTCCCTTTAAGAAACCATTTGAAAAATTGGTTTTGTTCAATCCGACAAAGGGGGTGGTCCAGGAGCCCCCTTCGGCCCCGAATAATGGCACTGATTTGGGGTCTTATGTCAAGGCCCCGGCCCGGAGGCTCCGAATTTGGATGCCTTGGTCTCTTGGCTTCAAGCCGGGCCTTAAGATGTTACAGCCGGACCTTGTGATTTTAAAGGCCGGCCGGCCCGAAACGGTTAATTCCCTTTAAGAAACCATTTGAAAAATTGGTTTTGTTCAATCCGACAAAGGGGGTCCAGGAGCCCCCTTCGGCCCCGAATAATGGCACTGATTTGGGGTCTTATGTCAAGGCCCCGGCCCGGAGGCTCCGAATTATGGATGCCTTGGTCTCTTGGCTTCAAGCCGGGCCTTATGATGTTACAGCCGGACCTTGTGATTTTAAAGGCCGACCTCATCCATTCCAACTGGCCCGAAACCATTAAAAACTATTTGAAAAATTGGTTTCGTTCAATCCGACAAGGGGGGTGGTCCAGGAGCCCCCTTCGGCCCCGAATAATGGCACTGATTTGGGGTCCTGTTTTATTTTTATGTCAAGGCCCCGGCCCGGAAGCTCCGAATTTGGATGCCTTGGTCTCTTGGCTTAAAGCCGGGCCTTATGATTTTAAAGCCGGATGTGATTTTAAAGGACGACCTCATCCATTCCAACTGGCCCGAAACCATTAATTCCCTTTAAGAAACCATTTGAAAATTTGTTTCGTTCAATCCGACAAGGGAGTGGTCCAGGAGCCCCCCTCGGCCCCGAATCGTGGCACTGATTTGGGGTCTGTTCTATGTCAAGGCCTCGGCTCGGAGGCTACGAATTTGGAAAAAGCCTATATATGGATTCCATTTAAAATCATATAAACTCATCCCGGATCCCTTTTCGATTCGCACGCATCCCTTTTAAATTATATTAAGCTCATCCCTTTAAATTCATATGGATCCCTTTTAAATCTATCTAAACTCCTCCCTATTAAAATCATATAAACCCCCGGGGCCGTCTAATCAGGCCCCCATCCACGCCTCGACTGTTCGGGGGGCGGGGGGCCCACATTTACAGGATCCCACATTAGGGTTTAGGGCCCCCCCCACCCACCACCCCCCCCCCCACCCCCCAGCCCCCCACTCCCGACCAAAAAAGTATTATTACAACCAAAAACCGGGATGTCACAACTGCTGTCGGTTTGAGGGCAAACCAGAAACCGTGATATCACAACCGCTTATTAAGGTTACAAGTTACCAACATTCCAAACCAGAGTTGGGGTCCTAACAGAACACCAAGCAACTTTGCAAACATCTGCAGTTGTGATATCCCTCATCTGCTTAAACCCTGTCCTCCCTGGGTTGTCTAAACCCTATCAGCGCTGCGAGGCCACATCTTAAACCAGAGGCAAAAGAACAGCTGCAGATTTTGCAGAGAGCGTTCGATGCCACAAGAGGCTTTCGCTGATTTTACATGTGATTGCCCAGTGATTTTGTGGTTTCATCATGACCTTTATCATACTTTTATGTGTTGTGGGCCACAGAATTGCCTACACCAGGAGCTTGTATAAATGAATTTACTTCGTTTCTGCAGCATTGATTGTTTTCATATGTGATTACGCACTGATTTCATGGTTTTCTCCTGATTATTATGTGTTGCGGGCCACAGAATTCCCTACACCAGGAGCTTGTATAAATGAATTTACTTCGTTTCTGCAGCATTGATTGTTTTCATATGTGATTACGCACTGATTTCATGGTTTTCTCCTGATGATTATGTGTTGCGGGCCACAGAATTCCCTACACCAGGAGCTTGTATAAATGAACTTACTTCGTTTCTGCACCATTGATTGTTTTCATATGTGGTTACGCGCTGATTTCATGGTTTTCTCCTGATAATTATGTGTTGCGGGCCACAGAATTCCCTTCACCAGGAGCCTGTAAAAATGAATTTTCTTCGCTGCAGCATTGACGGCTTTCATATGTGATTGCCCAATGATTTCGTGGTTTTCGCAAGATTTTTATCTTTTCCTGCGCCAGAATGGCCTCCGGTTGAGATATCCACCAACATGCAAGGCACTGGTTGTGCTATCCGCGTTCTCAGGCCTCCTCAGTTGTAATAACCACTTTCTTGGCTTTGGTATTTTCCAACTGGTTGTGTTATCCTTTAATCTCCCCCCACCCCCCCCACCTCTTCTGGCCCAAGTCCAGGTTTCGGGCTCGAAACCCCCAACCCCCCACCCGCCCCCCACCCCCACCCCCCACCCCCGCCCCCCCACCCCCCGACCTGAAAGGTTGCTACGGGAGAGGGGGAAGCGGACTGCGTGTACCCCTGGTTGAAATCTGTATTACTACCCACCCCCCCCCCACCCATCAGCGGCATCATTGGGCGAGGGGGGGGGGGGGCAAAAGCATCAGTAACATCATTAGCACTGCGCATGCGATGTTGCAATGTTCCTTTTTGGTTGTAATGCTTCCTAATTTGTCGCTTGGAAGGTTGGTTCCGGAACTGTTGTCTCGGTTCCCATAGATCCTGGAACCAGAGGCTAGTTGCCAACATAACCGAACACCAGGACGACTTGGGTATATTTGTATTTATTTATTTATCTATTTATCTATTTCTCTATTTATCTATTTCTCTATTTATCTATTTATCTATTTATTTGTTCATTCATTGATTTATGTACTTTGTATTTATACATTGGAGTTTAGGGCTAACGGTTGCCTGGTAATTTGGGTGGAGGGGTGTGGGGATATGCCATGGACATGTATCGCACAAATGCACGGTATGCTTCCTTATCCTACTACAAGTCTGCCTCCGCATGAAGCTCACAAATTACAGTATCTTTGGCAAAGCCACGTCAGCGTTGCACATGTGCGGCATGCGCGCGAAAAACATGGGCGACTCGACGGATTCGACGAATTCTCAGAGCGTGTTCTAAAGGCTGCGGAAAGTACTGAAACATTCTTGATGCCGGGGCCCGTGGCCCGGAGAGGTCCCCATAGTGCAGGTGCTCCGCCTGTCGATGCAGGTCAAAGCAGACAACTGCCCCTCACTGCCCCTTACTGCCCCTCACTGCCCCTTACTGCCGCTCACTGCCCCTCAGCTCTCTTTTGGTTCTGAGGGCTCCGACCATCGTGACTTCGTCTGAGCACCCAACGGGCGCTCCAAGCCACTTGAGAATAATCGGCGCGGAGCGAAGCGATCGAGCTCATACACATTCACACTTCGTGTCCAGATTGCATCTTGGCGCATTTTGGCACGTGCGCGCAATGCTCTCGAATGACCAGGCTCGTGAGACTTCGTGAGACTTCGTGAGACTGAGACAGCTGCGAACGCTGCTTGGATCTTCCTGTTCCCCTCCCTTCAGGAGGGAAAAACTTTTGGCGCATCCCCCACCCTTCAGAAAATCATTCCTCAGCCTCTAGCACTCTAGCCAGGCTGTGAGAACAATGCGTTTGCCCGACAATACCAAGAGTCGCACCCGGCGCTCAGGTCATTCTGGTCCATGTGTTTTCACCAGCGAGTACCTGCAAAGATTTGTGGCTCAGGATGACATGAGCGCTCTCGCGAGGAACAGGAGCACGAAGAAAGGCAGCGATACTCGATATGCGGCAGGCGGTTCAAAATGTCCTCCAGAACACCACCCAAGAAACGCTGATCAATTTAATAAGGAACGTCAATCTCGCCTCGGCAAAGACTGTTGTCTTCAAGTCAGCACTGAAATAGTACAGTACTAAGGAGATCATGGGGTTCTCTGCCATCATGACCTCAAAAAACCATGCGGCCACAGGCGGCCACAGGCGGCCGCCGGCGCAACGGAAGGCAACGTCAAAAAACAGCTGGGATGTTCTATCTGCTTTGCTTCTTTGGATGTTCCTGCCCTTTCTGAGGCTCGTACGGTTATCTCGAGGCTGTCATCATCGCTGAGCTCAGCAGCGGTGATTGGCAGGGTCCTCACTGAGCCATCCACTCCCCGACTCCACACTGAAAAACTGAACCAGCAGTTGAAGATCTCTTGCAGTGCAATCGGGAGGCGTGGACCAGTGCAAAGGCACGTTTTCAGGGAAGCAGATGAACACCGGCTTCTCGTGGAAAACGTTCTGGTTGAGAGATGTTGAGAATAGCATGCTTGCAGAATAAACATCGATCCATCGAGCCTGGCCCTTGTACATAACCTGCCACCTCAAAGAAAGCAAGAAGAGCAATGAGGAACTGCGACAGAAGAAAATCAAACTGGACTGGCTCGCGCTCTCGCGCTGTCCCCCTCTCGCTCTGTGTCTCCGAGTGACGCGAACATCGCGGCGGGGAAGCGGTTGATGGCGCGGCTGCCCTCAATTTCAGTGTGTAGACTGTGTAGACACGAAGTTACGGCTCAAAAAACATCAGTTAAAGCTAAACTTTAAAAAAAACACACACACACACACACACACACACACACACACAAACACACACACACACACACACACACACACACACACCCACGCGCGCGCGCACCCACCCACCCTTGTGGTTTCGGCGGAACTGCAAGAACTGGCAGGGCGGGGCGGGGTGTTGCATTCAACAAACAGTCAGCAACATGGCAACTGGACTGATGCTGCTGCTGCACAACAACGAGGATGGTATCAATGCACAGCGAGTCTCTTATTGCATGACATCACATACCTGACAAATCACTCTTGCAGGTACACAGGGTTGATCACACCCGGTTCTGACAAGCACTGGTTCAGTCTTCGTTGGTGCAAGACTGCTTGGGCCACGAGTCAGAAACACCGAGTCGGAATTTGCCCGAGGCCATGAGGCGAGTCCGAGAAACAACCGGAAATTTCGGCAACGTCGAGCCGAGAATTTGGGCGAAAGCCAATTCTGTACTTCTCTGATTTTCGAAGAATACATACAAGAACCAAAACAAGAAACGAGAGGGGGTGAAATTTAGACTACTTCTACTTCTCTAGTCATTCTCTAATTTTCTAATAATGAACACAAGAGACAAATCAAGGAACGAGGGGGGGTGCAGTTTAGAATCACTATCTACCGCTCTGATATCCGACAAGCAAATGGAGGGGGGGCTCAGAAAAGTCTTAGTTGTCATTTGGATAATACTGTGAATTTGTATCCATTCTCTACCTCTGACAGTTTTTGAAGAATGAATACTCTATCAATTTTCTAATTCTGAAAATTTTGAAGAATGAATACAAGAAACAAAACAAGAAACGAGGGGGGTGGAATTTAGACTTATTTTCAAAAAAACGAAAGGGGTGAGTAAAATTTTGAATAATTCTGTACTCCTCTGATATTCGACAAGCAGCCCCCCCCCATTCCCCCCACTTTTTGATCATGTCAGAAAAGACTTTGTTTGGATTGTACTGCAAATTTCTATCAATTCTTCTCTGATTTTGGAAGAATGAATACAAGAAACGAAAACAAGAAACGAGGGGGGGTGAAATTTAGACTTATTCTCTACTTCTCTACTCATTCTCTTTTTTCGAATAATGAACACAAGAGACAAATCAAGGAACGAGGGGGGTGGAATTTCGAATAAGTCTCTACCCCTCTGATATTCGACAAGCAATTGGGGCCCCCAACCCCCCCCCGCTTTTTCATTGCGTCAGAAAATGTCAGAAAAGACGTGAGAAAAGGAGGCGGATAAAAACTAAGCAGGGTTGAGGGCCGTATATTGTAGTCTATATTCCATCCATCTGGGGTACCAAAAGCCCGAAACCCAAAACCCTTAACACAAACGTTGCTTGAGGGCCTGCCGGGAGCGTAACAACAAAAGTGGAGGAGCGTAACAAAACAGCACCCACAAGTAGAGGAGCGTACAAAACAACACCCCACAAGAGCACCCCGCAAGTAGAGGAGCGCAACAAAAGAGCACCCCGCAAGTAGAGGAGCGCAACAACAGCACCCCACAAGTAGAGGAGCGTAACAAATCAGCACCCTGGATCACCAACCTATCCGGGCTTCGGGTCTCATTGTTTTCGGAGCTTCTGACACCCACACACACCCACGCACACACACACACACACACACACACACACACCCACCCACCCGCCCACCCACCCACCCACCCACCCACCCACCCAGCCAGCCAGCCAGCCACCCACGCACGCACGCACACGCACACGCACACCCACACGCACGCGCACGCGCACGTAAAGCGCGTAAATCGACACTGACTGCGCAGCAGAGACACACAAAGCGATCACCAGCATCTCACTGGCATCATTCAACACCATCTCTCCACTCACTCATATTCTCGCCTCCGTCGGCTTTGCACTCTCGTAAACGAGGCGCAGCTTTCCCTGCGTTTGAAACAGGGAAGGAAAGCAAAGTGAAACAACAGTCCCACACAATCTCAATCTGGAAGATCACGTGTAAGGACTTGCCTCTGCTCCGTAGTCCAAGCGGATGCACCAGTCGAAGAACCCGCCGGCAACGACCTGCAACCCAGATTCAAAGACTCTTGAAGATGTTGCTCAACAGTTAGGCTGGTTCAATTGCTTATGCCCTTCCGTTTGCATGTCCCCCTCAAGTCTGCCAACTGTTCACGCTCACTTCGGATCAAGACATAGAAAGAAGGAGGGTCAGAGGGAAACCAAGTAGAAGCCTTCGCTGGTGTTCCTTCCATGGCCGCTCGCCTGAAGAACTTCCAGAATGCGTCTTCAAGACGGGTGGGCTTTCTTTTCCTACTCGTTGGAGGAGCGATTCTCAGTGACCAGCACTCCATCGATGCGCCAGACCTGGCTGGGCTCCTCCATAGGTTCGCCATCCTTGAGCAACGCACATGACTGTGTGCCATGAAACTGCCTTCGATATGCCTTCATGTTTTTCCGTTTGCTCTTCGCACTCTCACCTCGGCTGGGAGGGACCGCAGCACCGAGAAGTCCCCACCTGAACCGAAAAGAAGAATCTCATGTCTCAGAAAATGCTTGAGAATGCTGTTGCTGAATACCCGAATGTGCACCGAATGGCGGTTGGCCCGTAGGCATCTGAGTCTACGTAGACTGAAGATAGAAGGAAGGAAAAATGTTCTCCAATGCTCTCACGAAACATACTATCTTTTTTGTAAAGACCTCTGTCGGAACAAGGACGCGGTTTGTACGCTGCCCTCTTATGTTGCAAGCTTGTGAAGTATAATTGCACTTGTGAATCTTGTTATAAGATTGAGAATATCCTTTTGCTTTAGTGACTCTAGCACGCTCGTCCATGATGTGTCACGAGCAGAAGAAAGAGAGCATGCAAATTCATTCTCTCAGAACATCAGCTGGTCAGAACTGGGTCTCGGGCCGCCCCACTGCCAGGTCTTGGTTTCCCTCAGCAGGTCGCACCTGAGAAGAGTCGTGAGGCGGCGCGAGCAACTTGATGGCTAATCACTCGTGGCATCCCGACTTCACTAGGTGCCCCGAGCGCCGAGTCAATCTGCGTGTGGTGGAGGCAATACTTGACCTTGAATCTTCTGCGTACCCGGCGTACCCGGGCTCAAAGGCTGGCGTTATAAGATGCCCACAATAAGATCCGTCTCGGCATCATTCGAGACCTCACATGCCAAGACTGTTCTGCCTGTGCGCTTCATTGCGCTTCCTCTACACTCCTCACACTGCTCAGGCCCACACGTGATGACAGGCATATTGAAGAACGACGGTCAGTAGATGCCTTCATGTTCGGAGATCGGCAAGTTCTGGGAACTCGAGGAACTCGGAATGAGGCCTGGGAACCTTGAGAAGGCTCTCCTTCCGGCTCTTCAACATTGTCTGTAGGTGCTCGCCCGTAAACTTGCAGGCAGCATCCTCAACGCACCGCAGGGAGATTGTAGCATTGCAGCAGTGTATTATTGTAGCACCAGCGCCAGCAACAGCCTCAAACTCCGGGAATTTGTGAAGCGCTTCGTGGTTCAGCACATCCACACTGGCAGTCACTGGCAGTCACTGGCAGTCACTGGCAGTCGCTCATTCAAAAAAAGGTGCGTGGTGTCAATGCGCAGTGCGGGCCAGTTCGACTCATCCAGGCCATTCCTTGAGACGTTTACAAGATTTTACAAGAAAAGGAGCAATGGTAGTGGACATCGCTCAGGGAGCCCAACACGATGATGGGCCGGACATCCTCTGCCTCAACTGCTTTGACCTGAAGCTCCTGCAGAAGACACAGAGCTGCCGAGTTTTCAATCACACTGGACCTACAACATCGGCTCCACAACGGCTCCACATCGGCTCCTCAGCAAGACTCAGGAGGTCCAAGCCTGTGTGAGCGCAGGAAGCAACTCATGGCATCTCATATGTGTAATGTGCAAACATGTGTACACCTGCCATACATTGTGCCAGTGCTGCACAGAAACCTTCCAAAGGCGTCAGACGATCAGCTGCCAGACCTCCAAAGTACCTGTCGCACGCGATGAGAAAGATGACAAGCGCACCTCACAATGCTCTGAGCTTCGACAGTTCAAAACGACGAAGGTCACAACAACCGGACGAGGGTGTAAACCTGGGTGGTCATAATCGAGGTCTGTCTTGGATAAGAAGGTATGCCTGCAAGTATCTTGAAAAACAGGCGCTGGCCACAGTGAACTTGTGTTCCAACCTGAACAGAGAACAGGCGAAAGTCACAGTGTGTCGCCGCTGCCGAGTTCCGCTGGGTCCCGTGCTCCACCCGCTCATGGCCAGGATTCTCCGCGAACAGTGCCGACAAGAAGGGAGAGTGTGCAGCCAAGACCGCCTGGGTGCACAACACAAAAAAGAAAAAAAAAAAAAAAAACAGGAACGCAACAAACGGGACACTGCGGGACTCTGCGGGACACTGCGGGAGACTGCGGGATACCCGCAGATTTCAGGCCTTGTGTGCGGGAATCTCACGACCTTCTGCCTGACAGTGGGAAGGGCAGTGCTCGGCATGCTAGGGTTCCATCGAAAGCAAAATCTTGCAAGAGACTCTTCATGCAAGGCATACATGCCTGAATGAAGATGTCTGCATGGTTGGTACCCTGCTTCTCGAAAAGCGTCAACAAATTCAGCTGCAAACCTCCAAGAACAACTCTCATGGCCGAAGTGCCGACTGCAATGAAATCACCTGCCTTCAAAGGATCTCAAGTTGGCCATCTCCTCGTTTGGTGTGTCCAGACTTTCGTCACGTGCACCACGAAGCAGTTCAAAAACTCAATTTCGTCAAGGTCCCCACGCAGCTTGGCGCGTACCGCGTATCGGACTTACTAGTCGAGACTGCAAAAGGCCAAGGACGAATATCGCAGAGGGAATATTGGGCATGGTCGGCAACTTCACATCACCTTCAGACGCCTTCAGATATGTTGATGCAATTTTCCGAAATGAATGCTTGCGCTTCTGACGGACATTGCGTCATGACAAAAGCATCGACAGGAACAACTTCACAAACTGCCAAGAAACATGTTGAACCCTCCAAGCTCGCGAGAAGGCTCAACAAAGTGCTTTTGAACTACGGCTACCACAATTGTGCAAAAGTAGCTTCCGCTAACGGGCTGCAAGAGAGGGTTTTTCGAAAGCCGCAAAATGTAGGACTTCAAAAGTTGCAGGGCAATAAAAGAACCTGCTGCCAACGTCATAGGAAACAGCAATCCACTGCCGAGAGTTGCTGGCAGGCAGAGACGTTTTGATAACCTCCAACAGAGGAAGACAGTTGAAGTGGAGGGAAGGAGGAAGATACGGAGGGAATCTTGAGACCAAATGGACACCGCAAATTGAAAGGGGATCTCACCCGTGTTGTCACTCCGAACACAAGTATCCTACGGGCCAACAAACCGCTCTGAGAGAACGCAACCTCGCAGACCACTCCCACATTTTTCCACCTGCTTGCGTAACAGTGGCGTGCTGGTAAGTCCTACACCACGCAACCCAAAGGCTACGGAGCGAAGCAAGGGTGCGATGATGCAAAAGGCAAAGGGGGAAAGAAACCCGAACAGCTCACTAGTTCTCGCACTCTCTTGTTTCGGCTTGCCGGAAGTGTCTGTCAGCTGCCTCCGAGTCCGGTCGGCCTTTGGCCGAGGACAGATTATCCAAAGAATGAAAGCTGAAGCCTGCTGACAGTCACAAAGCCCGAGTTATTATTTTGTTCTCAAATTCACACCATGAATATATTCTCCATCCTCTCTATTACTCAATACTACACATTCAATCCAGTCGGACCATTTTCCGAGGAAGGGCACATAATCAATCGCCTGTCTGATGTGCAGGTCTTCTGTCTCATTGGGTGCAAACACGAAATGCGCTGTCGGGTAGGGTCACTCCTCAGCAAGATGCCACGCAGCCAATCTGACGCCTCCGCAGTATCTATGTGTCGCTTCAGAATGGTCCCGTCTGGCCCGGGAGCTGGCAACAGCGCCCCGAGCGGTCGCCTTGTCAGGTCGATGCCTGCCAGTTGGGCAGCCCGGCGCCACTCAAGCGCCCAGCAAAAGTCCGGGCTGACACCCTGGATCGGTGCTACCAATGGCATGAACATCGGCTGCTTTGCTTGACATGGCGGGCCCTGGCTTCAACATAGCCAACTGGGCATCCAGCCAACTGGCGATGTCAAAGAATAAGCTGTCAATGCACGCAACATCGCTTTAAACACATGACTCCTGCAACAAACCTGTTTGTAGGATCAGCATCCTGCACACGTATGGCTTCCTCCACTTGCCGAACCTCACTGACTGTCAGGTCCGGGCCTGATTCTGCGGCAAGCGCTCTCCTGCTGACCTATCTGCTGCTCCAACAATCCGTGGTGATAACACAGCCTCCAAGTTGTGACACCTCAGTACGTGTTGAGACAACCGGAGAGCCGGCGGGGCTGGGCCCGCCCCCTTCGTACGAAGGGTGGCTTGAAGGGGGGCTTGAAGCCCCCTTTGAAGGGGGGCTGAAGGGTCGGACCCTTGAAGGGGGGGGGTGAAGGGGGGAGGGGGAGGGGGAGGGGGGGGGGGGAGGGGGGGGGGGGGGGGCGAAGGGTCGAAGGCTTGAAGGGGGGCTTGAAGGGGGGGGCTTGAAGGGGGGCTTGAAGGGGGGCTTCAAGGGGGGCTTCAGGGGGGCTTCAAGGGGGGCTTCAAGGGGGGCTTGAAGGGGGGGCTTCAAGGGAAGCTTCACAGGGAGGCTTCAAGGAGGGCCTGAAGGGGAGGCGAAGAAGGCCCAGGTGCTCGGCCTCGTAAACTGCTCCCTGCAACCCGTGCGAAGCAAGCCCAGTTATTAGGCCGCTTGAACTGCTCCCTGGAACCTCGCGAAGAAGGCCCAGTTAGTGGGCCTCTCAAACTGCTGCCGAAACGTCGCGAAGAAGGCCCAGTTATTAGGCCTCTTAAACTGCTCCCTGAAACCCCTGCGAAGCAGGCCCAGTTATTAGGCCTCTTAAACTGCTCCCTGGAACCTCGCGAAGAAGGCCCAGTTATTAGGCCTCTTAAGCTGCTCCCTGAAACCCCTGCGAAGCAGGCCCAGCTATTAGGCCTCTTAAACTGCTCCCTGGAACCTCGCGAAGAAGGCCCAGTTATTAGGCCTCTTAAACTGCTTCCTGAAACCTCTGCAAAGCAGGCCCAGTCATGAGGCCTCTTAAACTGCTCCCTGTACGGGTTTCCGGGAGCAGTTTAAGAGGCCTAGTACCTGGGCCTTCTTCGCGCCGTTTACGCCCGCGTCTCAAACCCCCCTTTCAAGCCCCCCTTGAAACCTCCCTTTGCAGCTTCCTCTGATCCCCCCTTGAAGCCCCCCCTTGCAGCCTCCCTAGCCTCCACTAGAAAACATGGGGTTTTCGGCTTAGCCCCTTGCCACACGCACTCGAGATGGGAGGCGTCCCTTCTCTCTTCTCCCTTGATTTTTCGAATAACGAAATACAAAAAACAAAAAAATTCGAGGGGCGTAGAATTTAGAATAACTTCCCTTCTCTCTTCTCCTCGGATTTTTCGAATAATGAAATACAAAAAACAAAAAAGATTCGGGGGTGGAATTTAGAATACGTTCCCTTCCCTACAACAAGTAAATGGGGGGGGCTGCGCCCCCCCCAACCCCCCGGCTCTTTACTTCCAAAAAGTCTCCACTCCTCTGATTCTCGAACAATGAAAGACAAAAACAAAACAAGATTCGAGGGGGGTGGAATTTAAACTAAAATCCCTCTCTCTTCTCCTCTGATTTTTCGAAGAACGAAATACAAAAAACAGAAAAGTTCGAGTAGGACGACAAGAAGCAAGGGGGCATGGATTTTAGAACAATTTTTTTCCTTGCTTCTACGGGAGGACGGCTCGAAAGATAATTCTCGACTCCTCTGTCCTTCTCCAGGCACCGCAGGACGACAAAGAGCGAGGGGGGGGGGGGACTCCTTTTCTTCGACAGGCTACGCAGAACGACCAAAAAGAAGGGAGGAGGAGAATGTAGGGTGGAATTTAGAACAATTCACTTCCTCTTTCCTCTTCTAGGGGCTACAAGTCTCCTCGGGGGGTGAAATCTAGGCTAATCTTTGTTCCTCTCTTTTTCTACGGGCTTCGCAGGACGACGACAAGCAACGAGGGGGGCAAATCTGAGAAATCTTCTCCTCACTTCGTCGCAGGCGAAGGGGGGGGCCGCAAGCGGGGTTTCAAGGGGGGCCTGAAAGGGGCCTCAGAAACTCCTTGCTGGACCCAAACAATGTGGGGTGGTACGACGACTCTACTACCACAACAACGACTACTATCACCTCTTTTACGACCACGACGACGACTGCGACCACCAGTAGAGAATGATCAGTTTGCAAGAGAAGAGTGGGGACTTCAAGGGACTCAAGGGCTTGAAGGGCTTGAAGGGAGCTTGGAGCTTGAAGAGATTCTAAGGGAGCTTGAAGGGTTGACCAAAATGGAACAAAAAGAACACTGATCGATTTTCAACGCAACGCGGAAGTACCGTTGAAAAATGAAAGATTCAAAGGGGTTTTAAGAGATCTGAAGAAGGCTTGAAGGGAACCAAAAATGAAACAAAAAGGGTCCCCCTTGAAGCCCCCTTAAAGCCCCCCTTGAAGCCCCCTTGAAGCCCCCCTTGAAGCCCCCCTTGAAGCTCCCCTTGAAGCCCCCCTTCGGGGCTTCTCAAGCTTGCCCTGATACACCAAAATGACTCCCTGTTGGCCTTTTCAAATACGGCCGCTTCGATGGTGGAGGGTGTCGGCGCCTCCAGCGTCCCTCTCCCGCTGAATCCGAAGCTCCCGTAGTCCTCCAGTCACTCATCGTTCGGACAGACCTCTCCGTAGAGTCCGACACCTACGGCATGGACAAAGCTGGTGCCAAGATTTCCTTCGTCAAATCCAGAGACTGACGGTTATTGGTGCCATTGAAGTACAGGGCAAGCGGGAATTGGTATACCTGGTCACTTACATTTCCAACAGCTGCCCTCTTCATCAGACTTGCTACTACATTGCTGTAACGCCTGCCATGAGGCAAGATGAGACGTCATCATCGCTGGTACTGTTGGGACCTTCGACGAGAAAGTCAAACTTCTCATTCAGGGCTTTGGCCTGGCTTACACCCATCATTGCGTCAAGATCATCCTTATGCCAAACAGTACTGGCAATTCGCTGCTTGGACAAAGGGTGGTACTCATCTCTTGCTCTGACATGGATCAATCTCCCTTGCCCAATCTTATCGCTTCCAGAATGGCAATTCAAGAAATGTTCTCTAGGGTTTTCAGATATGTGGTTAATGGGCTTGCTATTCCATTTTGGGGCATCAACAACCTCCCGCAGCAATTGCACGTCAGTTCTTCCGCAAGGAAGATCAAGATATTGGCATTGGACGAGCAAGTCAGCAGTGGTGGCAGTAGCGGTCACATGGACAGCAGGCATAACCACATCAGTACCCGCTAATACATGCACAATCCCTCTATACTGCACCGGAACCTTGATGTGCTCAAGACCCTCAATAATATCTTGCATGTCCCTCGTACAGTTGCGAAAGGTGATCTGCAGAGAAACCTCCGTAGAGTTGAAGGGTTGAGTTACCTTCCAAGCAAAAACTTTGTGTGAAGTCTTCACATGAAAAATGTGAAATCTTGCTGCATGCAACGCCAGGCTATCCGGAATAGTAAGCTGCTTTTGCCGAAGACCCAAGATAACCTTCTGCAATTGATAAGGGTCAGCGAAGATCCTGAGATACTTCTCTGGTGCGGAGTGGAACGCATTCATGAGCCTGTGTTGATTCAGGATGCAATGCACTTGGAATGCTTCATCCTTGGTTTTAGCCGAATTGATAGCATATGGGAGATCCACGAAGTTGACACTGTTACCCGGGATTCCTTTAAGAGGCGCAAACCGATACCATACGAGCTCAATTTGTGACCTGCCTTCAATTTGCTGTAGCTTATCATACATCTTTTCAACTTTAAGCATTAGGGCTTGAAGTTGATTTTGCTGATCTTAGACGCTCTCAGGCATACAACACATCGATTCTCTTGATCAGTTAGTCAACCAAAATGAAGCTTTCCAAGGCTGGATGTTGCCAGAGAACCTTCCTGAAGCTTCCCAAGAGGATGAGGACTTTACTGCTGAATTGGGATCTATCCAACACCTCCTTGTCCGCATTGTTGGCAAGATCGAACTTGAGATCCCGCTTATTCTCAAGAATGGCTACCATCTTGCTTGCCATCCTGGATCATCGGCGAGCAACAATGTCCTCATCTCCCTGCATCAGGGTGCGCTTCTCTTCCTGCCACGATGTCACTCATGTGATGTCATAAAGTTGATAGGGATTAATCCCAGCGTTATATACGCCTTTAACATTTACACTGATGACAGATCTAAGGCTGCTTCGGCCAGCGATCCGAACAAGGCCACTCGGGCCAATCATCAGGATGGGAAGGCGAGCAATGCCGCAATGGAGCAATCGGATACTGCCCAGTGCCTGACTTTGCTCCATGAAAGGCCACCTGCTGGAACAATTAAAGGCAATGACGGGCAGGTTACTAATAAGCTGCCTGAAAATCCTGTTGCAGTACAGCCAAGTCAAGAAAGATGGACCGGCAAAAGAAATATTGAAAACAGCAGGGAAAAGGTTGAAACTGCAAGGAGACGTAATACTGTCCTGAGGTTTCAGGCTGAAGTGCCGGCCAATGTTCAAGAAGAAGTGCAAAGGCGCATTGCTGGCTTATATTGTCCTGTTGCTGCTGCTTATCGGATCATCTCTTGTGCTCAATGGAGCAAAGAGAATTGCCAGCATTACGCCCCATTTCCCAAGCAAGCTGCTTTGGTTCTTGCTGCGATTGGGTATAACATACGTGAGACTGCAAGAGCCAAGCTTGCACATATTCTTGGACAGACTTACCTCGAATTGGCAAGTGTTACACCGTTGGAGCTTCAAAGCTTCACTGAGGTTTATAGTAAGGCCATTTGGGCTATTCCAGCCAATGGGCAATACACTTTGCTTGTGCAGATCCACTGCAAGTGTTCCAAGTGTCAGCAGCCACAGCCCATTCTTGCTCTGCCGTTGCACTCTGAACAGGACTCCTCTGATCAGTTCAATATCCTTG